TTTTTTTGTTATTGTTCAAATTTAGGTCTAGACAACAGAGGACTACAGTAGCAATAAGAAAAACTCTTAAATAGTTAGGGTTTTTCTACACTAATTCAGTGCTTGTTATTTCCCTAGCATACTTTCATTTGTATAATTTATTTTGCTGAATAAACATCATCATCATAACTAGTAAAATAATTCCAGTGCTTTTATGCAAGAATAAGATTTGTATCATCCTTTTTTTAGGAGCTGTCATATTAAAATAAGGTGACTGCTTCTGATTGCTTACCTTACTCCATATATATATAATTTAATATACTCCTTAATGCTGCATAGGACTTCTAAAATTCAGTTGTTGGCAAATAGGGACTCGACTGGAAATAGTTCAAAATTGCTTAGGTTTTGTGCTCTCAGCACAAATAGATAGATTAGTTTGGTTTTTGTCATTCTGTGTCTGCCTTTGATTTGTCCATCTTCAGCACTTTGAAAACTCAGCTTCAGTATCTCCAGCTGGATGCCCCACATCACTTTGCACTTTGAAAATGGTAGTCTGATCGTTGTGTCTTGATTCTTTCCTGAAAGCAGTAAAGATCATCTTTAATGCTGTGTTTTCCTCATTTCATCCACTCATGCATGTCCTTTGTGCTTTAATTTGTTGTTTTATATGCATGTGTGGTAGTTTTCCAGCATGCTTTGCTTTGTGCACTTTGATCTGCAGGCTAAGCATGATGGATTTGTCTGTCACACTCTCTCTTTGTGCTCAGTAGAAGTGTCCTTGTACCAACAGGCACTCGTTTTACTTCGCTGCACTGCAAGAGAGCTTACACAAGCAATCATAATACTAATGCTGTTCTAAGAAATAATTGCTGAGGCATTCATCTTTAAAAAGAGATATTTTCCTCCAAATGTCTTTGAAACAAGGCAGCCCTACTTTTAATTTTGCTATGGACTCTCTGAAGTCTCTGACTTCAGCAAGCTGGATTATGCTGTGCTGTTACTACTACTCTCATCTTTTTTTGTGCCTGAGCAAAAGACGTAATGTTTCAAAAGTCTAGAAAGTCTTCAGTGCCTATAGTGTACAATTCTTTATTCAGGGAGACTCAAGAAGGATCTCTGCTATTCCTCTGTATTATAAACAATTTTAAATTTATTTAACGTGATATTGGGTACCTTACATTTGATAGGAATGTTACAGAGAAACTGAATTACAAAGAACTTTATTTTCACAGAATGATGTTTTCTTCCCTCTTTTTATTTATTTTTGATCCATGTTGTAGAATGAGAGAGAATCTGACTGTGCATTATCTGTAGGTTCAGTTACGAAGTATTTGAAAATGTATCTGATTTTGGTAGAATATCTGGTGTCCTTTGTACGTGCTCCAGACTTGAGAGAGGAGAATAAATAAGAAGGAATACTGTTGTGACTGATGAGTCAGTTGTGCTACTGTTGTCAGATATATGAACTGTCAAGCTTATTACAAGACCCTGGCGATCAGGCTGACATTAACTGCAAAGTCATTTCTGTATCTGTAATCTGTATGTATTTCAACTGAGCTCATTGCACAATCTCCTATATACCATCCATAAGAAACATGCATCAATATTTTCAGTGTATGGGAATCTTCCCAGATTTCCGAAATAGATTCCTTGTAAAAACACATGGTCTGCACCTAAGAAAAGAAAAAAAAAGCTTTTTGTTTCATCCAGGTTTTCCTTCTTAGATTCCTCCACACAGTGAGAAAACATCAGGTTCAGCCCAAGCTGGCTATTTTCCAAGTAAGTGCAAGTTATCCTATGCTGCCCTGAATCATATTTTCCCCTGAAACTCTGTTCAGAGAGAGTGATCCTGAAGGTGTGCCCAGATAACATGATGTGTGTGTGAAGAGTAAGGTGTAGGTTGTGAGCAGGTAGGCAGTCACTGCTCTTCAAACTTTGATGGAATTCTAGGCAATTTCCCTGAAAAGAAGGCTATTTTTTATGTGTGTGCATCCAACACAGCCTTGCACAGCCTTGAAAAAGAAGTAAAAAGAATTTTGTTTTTGTTGTTTTTATCAGCCTACTCACAAATTCCCTCCCATGGCTTAGACAAAACACTGAACATCTACATTTTTATATCAATGACTCTTTGCTGAAATCCAAGTACACAAGAAAAAAGTTATTACAAGCTCCTAAGTACATTTTCACTAACTGGTTTTACATGTTTGAAAGAAAAATCTAAGACTTGCTATTTCTTACTAGAGAATTCAACACATACTCTCAAAACAAGTGTGAAAGGACTATAATGAAAGGTAGATTATGATAAACAGAGTTGTCTTTATTCAGTGTGTATTCTGTTTTGTTTTGGGCATAGAATAAATAACAACTGACAGATTTTAAAGCAACTGGACTATGTTATTTAGAAAAGATGATGGGAAAGGAAAGAGAACGGAACAATCACTTAGTAATGGAGCTTTTGACAGAGTTTTCTTCATGCTTCCTATTAACATAATTGAACTGTAATCTGTGTCATTTTCTGACTACATCAAATGGTTGTTGTGGGGAAAGGGAACTGTTTATTGGCAATTTAATTAGTAGTGCTCTTAACTGCTTTCCTTATGCTGAAAACAAGTAATAATTATTACTATTTTATGATTCATAGAATCATTTAGAACACTGAGTCTAACCATTAACCTAGTCCACCACTAAACCGTGTCACCAAGTGCCACATCTACAGGTATTTTAAAAACCTCCAAGTATGGTGACTCAAATAGTTCCCCGGGCAGCCCGTTCCAATGATTGGCAGCACTTTTGGTGAAGAAATTTTTTAAATATCTAATCTAAGTCTCCTCTGGTACAACTTGAGGCCATTTCCTCTCGTCGCTTTTATCTGGGAGAAGAGGCTGACACCACCTGGACCCAACCTCCTTTCAGGTAGCTGTAGACATCAATAAGATCTTCATGAGCCTCCTTTTCTTCAGGCCAAACAACCCCAGCTCCCCCAGCTGCTCCTCATAGGATTTTTGCTTTAGACCCTTCACCAGCTCTGTACATAATAAATTGGTTGTTAAATAGCACCAAAACATATTTCTAATCAGATGCAAGTGAAGGAATCAAAACATATAAACTCTCAATTAACTGTAACTTACAATTAATCATTTATCTGGGTGATGTGATCTAGTAAGGAATTTCTGTGCTATGGAAACAAAACTATTTGTAAGCAGTGTTTAGCAAGTAGTTAGGATGCAGACAGAAATCCACAAATCCAAATCTTGTAGGACACCATTAAACAGCTGTGTTTCATGGTGTGGATACCTCACAAACAGGATGTAGTGCAATAGTCTTATGCAGGGATTAATTCAGACTCTGAGTACATAAGGCAAGGAAATGACAATTAATTGAAACACCACTGTGCTGCAAAGTGTGTGGATTTCAAGGGTGGACCTGGGATAAATGATCTGTTTGTATTGCTATTGAAGTGTTTAAGGTGACTAATGAAGGAAATGTGTATGCTTATCACTATCAAGAAAAATCAGTTTTTACAGATTCAGTTACCACAACAGAGCAGTTTGTATATGTATCTTCAAATGTAACAAATACTGTACTTCTGAAATTTACAATTATAACTATTTAATGAAACTCGACAAGTAATTAGAGTTGCTTAATCAAACTTCAAATGCCAATAGCTTCCAGGATTAGTTTCCACTGAACTTTATTTTTTTTTTTACATCTATATTTTTACATAGTTTTTAATTACAATGACATGTGATATTTTCTTACACAGGATCAGAACATTGATTTTGCAGAAATAAACAGACCTGAAGAGACACAGGGAATTATGTGATACTATCTCTGCACTTTCAGTAAAACATTCATATATGCATTACAAGCACTGGGCTGTTCCAAACCAACAGCCACCTTTTGCTTTTTCTGAATTTGCAGTTATGATTCATAAAAAGTAGAAAAAGTATCATGGGAGAACTGGTGTGTATCAAGAAAAGCTTTAATTTTATCAGATGTATTTATTTCCTGTACTTTTTGTTGTCCATCTTCTGTGTGAAGAGAGCATTACCTGTCTCCCAGAGTGGAAGAAGAACCTATTGAGACTGACTGTAGTGGGGAAGTTTACTTTCCCTGCTGGAGTATCAGTCTAATAGCTGTGCCTACAGCTTCCTTAAGCTCTTCAGCAGCAGATGTGAGGATGTGAGAAATTCTTGCCTCATTACTGTGAGTTATCAGGACTGGAAAACAGACTGACACAGTCAGTCACAGTTGTTTTTTTGTGATTTGCCCTCTCTTCTGATGCCCTTCTCCCCACAACGTGCTAATTTTCTACCCACTTTAAGGGGGTCTTTAACGTTCCTCATGGATGAGTTGCTAGCATTTTTTAACTTCAGCAAAGAAATGTATTCTCTAGTCGTGTTCTCAGAAATAACAGAACACTTCCAACAAAATTTTGTCACTAAGATTAGGTGAAATTATCAGTCCTTAATAGGCAGCTGGTATATACAGCTTGAGCTTGGGTGATTAAATAAAACTAGAAAGCTGAAAGACATGTCATTGGAACAGAAAAATGCATGCCAATTTAGCACTTGCTAAATTTGACCACTGTTATTTATCTTAATGTCTTTATGACATTTAAAAAAATGTATTTTATGGAACAAGCTTGTAGCAAGAATGAACTTACTAGTTTAGTTGTAAAACGCTTTAAGTACAAGAAGTAGCAGGTCAGAGCCATTTAAAGGAGCTGATGATTTGACAGAAAATAATACAAATAATACAAACTTGCTTAAATAAAGCTCGAACCAGATGTACTGGTCTTCACTAAGGTATTTTCTAAGGTTAGAGGATGTACATCCACCTTTTTCCCTGGCATTGCAGTAGTCTGCTCAGTTCTCTATGCCAAGTACTCTTAATCTCGTAAGAAAATACTGTACCAGAGATGGTGTGCATGGCTGACTTTGGCTCAGGCTGACATAAATTATTATTGCTTTTCAACTATAGAGGCATTTATTTGAGGCAAACTTTTCTTATATTTACAGACACTGACCAAAATTCCATGGATGGAAAAGCAGGAGAAAAGGTCAGTATTTAGTAAACTTCAGTCTATGTGTTTCTAAGCCACAGGTAGGTGTGTTGTGTGGAAGCAACAGTGTCTAAAGCATCCTTTCTGTGTCCCTCAGCTGCTTTTGTGTGGATCCCAAAAAGTCAATGCAGAACTGTGTTAGATGTTACCTGCCATCTATAATGGCTCAGCAGGGGTGGGCAGGCTTATTCTGCACTGGAGCATTTAGGAGAATGTATCACTTTGCAGTATGCTGCTTTGTCTGAAGGCTGTCATTTCATTATGTGATGAGGGAGGTGCCCCAGCTGGATTTTCTCATCCCCTCAATCCAGGTAAATGATAACATCGAAGTGGGAAGGGGTCTCAATCTTTCTTTTGTAAATATGATTGCTTTGGGAGGATGTCAAAGAGGAAACAGCAGGAAGGGTACATAATGCACAATTAAGTAATCTTACCTTTACTGTGGTAAACCAGACCTGAGTACTTATTCTTTGTCTGCCAACTCCTTTATTTCATCTTGGGCTTTCTGTAACCAAATCAGCTGAATGAGGACTACTAATCTCTGGACTTTAAATGTCTCTGTGCTTCAGGAGAAGGAAAAAAAGAAGCAAAGAGTATCTGTGTTCAACTGAGGAGTGACAAATATATTCTCCTGCCTGTTGCTGGTTCACGTGTTCTGAGAAGAAATTGAATGCATAGACAGAGCACCAGTATTTTCAGCATGGAAACCACAAGTCTTGGAAAGAAAGTTTTCCACTGGTTGGTCCTCTCTTCTGCCAATATATGCATCATCATCTTTACTGCTTCTTTAGTGTATCACAAATAAGGTGTTTTTTTAGTCAACTTTCCAGGAAAACCAGTTCAGATATCCCATGAAGATTCTTTTGATGTTTCCATTAAATAAAATTCACCCTGGAGAATATAAGACCAGCAAGAGTTCTTTAATATCTAATTCATTACGTTAAGTTGGTCATCTATATGGGAAGAAACTATATTGCGAATATTTAGACCTTCATTTAAATGTGAATTATTTCAGAGGTTTTAAATTCCAGATCAAAATAATCAAACAATTTCAACATAACAATAAACTTACCCTTCCCCAATGCAGAAGAGTGTGCAAAAATGTTTGCTTAATAAGTTTAAACTCCTGAGATGGGTATGCTCAGCAGGAGCAAATGCATCCTGTGCTTAGATCATGTAGCGAACATCAGCGTGCTTGTTTGCTGTGGGGCCAGACTTAAAACCTCTGCAATTATACTCAGTCTGAGGATAGAAAATCTTTGCTGTCGACATAGCAGACCAAGTGATTCAGTGTTCAAGGTACTTCAGTGCTGCCTGAAATAGAGAAGAGGAAGCAAGGAGGAAGGATGTTTGTTTTGGTAAAATCTGGGATAAGATTATTCTGGGAGTTATTGAAAAACATTGGTCACAGTCAGCACAGGCTCATGAGGGGAAAGTCCTGCTTAAAAAATTAATTTCCTTTTACAATGTTGTTACCCACCTATTAGAAAAAGGGAAGACGGCTGATGTAACCTGTTTAGATTTCAGTAAAGCTTTTGATATTGTCTTTTACAGTATCCTTCTGGACAAAATGTCCAACACACAACTGGATAAACCTGTCATGCAATGGGTAAGCAACTGGCTCAGGGGCCAGGCACAAAGGCTTACAGTAAATGGAGTAACATCAGACTGGCAACCTGCCACTAGTGGAGTTCCACAGGGCTCCATCTTAGGCCCTGTGCTCTTCAGCATCTTCATAAATTACTTGGATGTAAGACTGGAAGGTATTCTAAGCAAGTTTGTTGATGACATTAAATTGGGAGGAGCTGTTGATTCCCTTGAAGGCAGAAATCTTGACAAATTACAGGGCTGGGCAGTCACCAACTGTATCAAGTATAACAAGGGCAAGTGCTGGATTCTGCACTTGGGATGGGGCAACCCCAGATGTTCATACAGACTGGGGAATGAGATGTTGGAAAGGAGTGCCACAGAAAGGGACCTGGGGGTCCTGGTTGCCAAGCTGAATATGAGTCAGCAGTGCCCTGCCAGCCAGGACGGCCGACCATGTCCTGGGGGGCATCAGGCGAAGCATTGCCAGCTGGTTCAGGGAAGTGACTGTCCTGCTCTGCACTGGTGCAGCCTTGCCTCAACTCCTGTGTGCAGTTTTGGGTGCCATAATATATCACAGAATAACAAAATGGGTAAGGCTGGAAGGGACCACAGTGAGTCATCTGGTCCAACCTCCCTCCTCAAGCAGGGTCATCCTAGAGCACATGGTACAGGATTGTGTCCTCATGTTCAGACAGAACTTCCTGCGCATCACTTTCTGCCCACTGCCTCTTGCCTTATTGATTCGTACCACTGAGAAAAGCCTGACTCCTTGGCAGCCCTCCTTCAGATACTTACAGGCATTGATGACATCTCCTCTCAGTTGTTTCTTCTTGAAGCTGAGCAGGCCCAGCTCCCTCAGCCTTTCCATGTAAGAGAGATGTTCCAGTCTCTTAATCATCTTTGTTGCCCTCCACTGGACCTGCTCCAGAAGCTCCATGTCTCTTGCTCTGAGGAGCCCAGAACTGGACACAGCACTGCAGGTGAGGCCTCACCAGGGCTGAGTAGAGGGACAGGATCACCTCCCTCAACCTGCTGTCAATGCTCTTCCTAATGTATCCCAGAATACCATCAGCCTTCTTGGCCACAAGGACACACTGCTGGCTCATGGACAGCTTGCTGTCCATCAGGACCCCAGGTCCTTCTCTGCAGAGCTGCTTTCCAGCAGGTCAGCCCCCAGCCTGTACTGGTGCCTGGGGTTATTCTTCCCCAGATGCAGGACCTTGAATTTGCCTTTGTTGAATTTCAGACAGTCCTTGTCTGCCCATCTCTCCAACCTGTTATAACAAAATCTTTTAACATAATGTTCAGAACAAATGTTTGTTTTATGTTATCATCCCTGTTACTGTGTACAGAAATTCAGTAAAAGTTCAAAAGCACATAATTCCCTGCATCAAGTTCTTTTCTTTGCTGTAATCCCATTGCCCTGAGGGTTGTAAGCATACATCTGAAACCTCTGGCTCCTGCTCACTGAATAATAGTAAATATTGATGTAGCAAATTGGTCAAGTTGTTTATGTGGCAAATTTCTTGCACACTCAAAGCCTAGAAGTGTGTTCATTTACCACAGGGTGCTTGGAGTAACTTGGAACAAATTTAGCTAATTAAGTTAATACTAGAATGTATTTGTTATTATCCGAGCACTAGGGCATGAAAAATACAACTCCAGTGGGAACAGAATGGAGTGGTTTCAAGAAGTTCACAGAACAGGATATATTAGTGATAGAAGAGACTTTAAGAAATCATTTAGTCCATTTCCCTTTTGTAGTTACAGCTGTCATCACTATTGGCATGTCTGTCTAATTTGTTGGTAAAAAATCTCCAGTAATGCCAAGTGCACACTCATATGCAAATACTATAAATATGATATTTAACTATCAGTTTATTTAACAGAATTTATAACATCATCAGAAGAGAAGTCTGTTGTGGCCAATTATTCGGCCTTCAAAGCACATTCTGATCTTGAACTCAACTAAAGGAGGATCTCCTAATGTACAGAGATCATCTGTTGTGAGAGAGATTTAGCAGATCACATGCCAATCTCCATTCTGATTTTTGGAGAGTATGGGAGGGCTAGTTACTGCTTTCTGCTGAAATTTTGTGCTTGATGGTCTCTGTCAAAATTTGCATACACCTCTGGCTTGGTTCAGAGTGGTCTATTATTAGCTGAACACAGAAATTACTTTTACTCTTAGGACCTGTACCATGTGAGGTTTTTTTTCTGATGTAACTGAGAATACGGGCTGCTGTGCTTAGGATTTTTTTCATATAGAGAACGAGTAAATTAAATGAACATTTTTCTTTCAGCCATTAAATGGCAGAACATTAAAAAGTTTCATCTTGTAGCAAAATTCCCATTGATGTGCCTGAAGCAAGAACACACATCTAATGTGTATAATGATTCCACAGATTTTCCTGATGAGCTTTTAATGTACTATTTAGCTATGGCTTTTGTGTCTCAAAAGGTACAAATTATTTTTCTCTCTTGCCCTGTATAAAAGCTTGATGCTTGCACACATTGGTTACTTCTTTACTCAGCAGCTGTCGTCTCATCAAGATTGTGTTATCAGGTAGTGTGGCAGGCCATACATATTCTTTAGGGCTGATGTGGTTTGCCTTCTTGTTCTTGTAAATTCTCCATTATAGTGATCACCTCCTCGTAATGGTTTAGTGAGTAATCTTGCTGTGTGTTCTTTAATTCCTTAGGTAAAAATGAATACTTCCCTGCATCCATCTGTCAGTGGTTGTGTTAAGACACAGGAACTACCATTCTGGGTCAGAGCTGAGGTCCATTTAGGCTTGTATCCTCTCTCTAGTAATGGTCAGTACCAGAAGCATCATCAAAATGAACAAGTGTTTGCCTCCCATTGCTGTGAGTTCTCTCCTGCCCTGAAGCATGTAGTTGCTTTACCTTCCAGTCTCTCGCTTCTTTTCTCTTCTTTTTAACTTGTCATCTTTTTTCGTTTTGGTATTGCTTTTGGTTTGGTTGGTTCCTTGCTTTCTTTTTGTGAGTTTTTGTTGTTGTTGTTTTGGTTTGGGGGTTTTTTGTTTGTTTGTGTTTGGTGGGTTTTTTGCTTGTTTGTTTTTTAATCCTAATTTAGTTTTGGCCATAACAGCACATTCTGATAATTACCTGGTTTCTCAGTAGCAAAATCAGAGAGTAGTGGAGTTTTGCTATGATACATGTTGGTCTTCGAAAACAAATAAGGTAATTGCACTTCTGCTAGCAATGGTCTGCTGGTGTTGATGATAAGAAAGTGAAAAGACAGATGGAAGCAGAAATACTGAGGCAGTCTAAATAAGAATGTAATGTTCTGTCTAGAAAAGCTGTTTTTTTAGAAGTGCAGCTTTAAAAGCACTGATATGGTATGTCTGTGGTCACAGGAACTTCCTAGGGGTACCAGAGCAGTGCAACGACAAGGCTTTATTCTGACATACCATGTAGTGCTAATGAAAAGGGTGGAAGAGGAAAAAGAATGGAAGTAGGAACATCTTTTCTCCCTTTGCTGCTCATATGTTGCTGTTGATTCTTTCTATCTGCTTCTCCGCAGATACCATTTAGATAGTGAGCAGTTCATTTTGCTCAACAACAAATGCAAGCTTTTCTTATATTCTGCATCAGTTCTCATGAAAGAGAGAAGGCGGATGGGTGTGGAAACTGAAGCTCTCTACCTACAACAAAAAAACCACATACATACACCACTGTAAGCAATTCTGTGCTGCCTGATGTGTTGGGGCAAAGAGGAGCTGAGTTTTCACTGCATTAATGTTCTGTTTTCTGTGCCATTATTGTTAATAGGATACCTATTGCGGGTCACCATTCATTAGGAATGGGCTGGAGGCTACTAAACAGGTATCAGATGACAAGTGGACTAGTTTTTAACCCAATCAGGTTAGAAAAGTTAATGACTTTATTAAGAGGAGTGTCCTTGGTATGTGGCATCACCTTAGTGGTTTGCCCTTGAAGAAGGTTATTAATACAATTCTGAAGTTGGGTTCATTTTTTCCTTCAAGGACCATAAGCATTTTCCTTGATTTTGGCAAGATTTTTTTTCATAGAATCACAGTGAGCTGGAAGAGACCCAAAAGGATCATATGAGTCCAACTCCTGGCCCTACACAGGACAACCCCAAAGAATCAGACCATGTGCCTGCCTGTATTGTCCAAATGCTCCTTGAACTCTGGCAGGCTTGGTGCTCTGACCACTTCCCTGGGGAGCCTGTTCCAGTACCCAACTACCCTTTGGGGGAAGAACTTTTTCCCAGTATTCAACCTAAACCTCCCCTGACACAACCTCAGGCCATTCCCTCAGGTTCTGTCCCCGGTCGCCACAGAAGAGAGATCAGTGCCTGCTCCTTCTCTTCCCCTCAGTCTCCTCTCCTCCAAGCTGAAC